GAAAAACTAGTATTTAATTATTGGATAGATTTCGTATGTAATGACATTGCATATAATTTAATGCAATAATAAAAAAATATTTGATATCAATACTATTTATTTCATGATGTAATAACAGTAGTTAAATCTACAATATTTAAATTAAAAATTATTAATATTAATATATATTTTATTATTATTTTATAACCTCAATTTGAAAAGCATTTTTTAACCAAACACATTAAACTACTTTTTGTTCAACCTCAATTTCAACCACAGTTTTAACCAAATATATATTTTTTCAAACTAACCTTAATTAAAAGTACTTTTTTATAAAATAATTTTTTTTCAAACCACAACCACAACAATAATCGCAATACCAAATACTACTAGATTAGTGTTGTAAGCTATCTTGCAAGGGTCAGATTATTTTTTTAAAAAAATATTTTGATATTACATATAAATTTTTTTTAATCATATAAGGATATAAGGGTTGACTTCATATAACCTGGTTGACTTGATATAAGCAGATTAACTTTGTGGATCTAAAATCAATTCATTCAACTAGTAAAAATATAGTTTGAGTAAAAAAAATCAATATGATATTTTTTTTTAATATTAAGATAACAATATACTGGATTGACGTAGTCAACTAGAGTTAACATGTCAAATTTGCGTCTCGACTTATGCAATTATGATAATCCCATTGAAAAATAAATTAAAATAAATTATAGAGATTAATTCACAATCAACTTAGAAAAAAAAATCAATTAAGAAATGACTTAAAAAGGTAACTTGAGTTAATCTGTCAAACCTACGACCCGAGTTATAAGATTGAGATAACCTTAGGGAAAGCAAATAGAAAAAAATTATAAATTTCAATCCTCAATCAACTCAATATTGAAAGATATGATTAAAAAATCAACTAAAAAGGGAACATAAAAAACTACCTGAGTTAATCTCTTAAACCTATGACCTAGATCATCAAATTAAAATAACCTCATAGAAAAAAAAATTAAAAAATAACCTAATTTAACTCAGGTTAACTTTTACGATGTTGTTATCGCACAAATTAATTATCCTAGCATAAAACACAACAAGATAATATAGAGCAAGCAAGAGGTCGATCCCACGAGGACGGTTCAAGTCAAATTTTTATGGTAGATGATATGCAACTTGGGGGGTTTTGGACATTATCTAAGCTAAAACAAAAGAAATTAGAAAACTGTCAAGTAAAATTAAATAAAATCAGAAAATTATCAAGAGAACAAACCTTAGTCGCAAGCACACATCTACCTATAGAAATCAGAACTGATCATGAAAATGAAACATCAATTTATATTATGAATATTTATCTCTTTTTAACATTGGTTTGTTAACAAATTTGCCATATAACTAACCCTAACCATCAAACAACCACAATATCCGCACTAGTAATTTAATTTAATGGTAGCTTTAAAAACTAGATAAGTTGATTAATCAAGAAAACATAATTGTCCGTGGTTTATGTTTGATTTGATTGAATGTTCTCCCTCAGATTAATAACGTAGATTCGCTACAATTATTAAACTTAGTTGCTTTACAAGTTTGTATACCACAACTCCGATTTTGATATCAAACTTAGCAATAGATTGTCTACAATAATAACTTAGAGTCCGCTTTAGCAATTAAA